GTGTGTGTGTGTGAGCGCACAATTCTTAAAAACGGAAATATCAAGCTGTTTATTGCAAAGAACAAATTCTGTTGTATTGCTGCAGCTACGAAACTAGTGACCACATCAGCATGTCTGTATTATATTGCCCCCCCAGGTGGTCAAGGTGCACACACCAAAAGGAGCAGCACAATGTCTCGAACGGGAGAAAAAAATGGACAAAACTGTTTCTTTTCTTTAATTCTTTTACGTGTTATTTAATGACATTATTGTATGTTTTTATAAAGTACAATATTACAGAGCGCCATTTTTCGTATCTCAAGGCAACGCTGTATTTGTATGACGATGACATTTTATTGCGCAACTCCCCTCGCCTCTGCAGGACCCTTACTTCCGAATGACCCGCGACGTGGCCCCAAGGATCGGCTACCCCAAGCCGGCCCTGTTGCACTCCACTTTCTTCCCCGCCCTGCAGGGGGCCCAGACCAAGATGAGCGCCAGTGATGCCAATTCGTCCATCTTTCTCACAGACACGGCCAAACAGATTAAGAACAAGGTCCGACTTTTGTCTCTCTCGTCGTTTTAAGGTGGATCCCCCAAATACTGTCGTGCAAATAATTTTCGGTAAACATAACATATTGCACAACATATCATTTCCGTGAGTGTTTTAAGATTACTGGTAATTGGGGGAGGGGGGGCTTGTGACATTTAATCCATATGTATATACGTATATGCTTACACGTATATGCTTATACGTATACAGTACACCTATCTATATGCTTATACGTATATAGGTACAGTATATGCTTATACGTGTACACGTATATGTATGCTGTTGATTACAGTCAAATACCTTTGGATGATGATTGCTCACAGATCAACAAGTATGCATTTTCGGGGGGGAAAGACACGGTGGAGGAGCACCGGAAGTATGGGGGCAACGTAGACGTGGACGTCTCCTTCATGTACTTGACCTTCTTCTTGGAAGACGACGAGAAGCTGGAGAAGATCAGACAGGTGAGAGTCAACACGACACGGATTGATAACCAAAAATTTTGATCTCCATTTTTTGTGTCCTTTCTTGGACTTGCCACGCATGTGGTGCTTAGGACTACACAAGCGGCGCTCTTCTAACAGGAGAACTGAAGAAGACATTGATCGAAACCCTGCAACCAATCATCGCCGAGCATCAGGAGCGACGCAAGCAAGTTACGGACGAGACAGTCAAGCGGTTTATGACACCCCGGCCTTTGAATTTTAACCTCTAGCTCGCTTGATGAAAGAATCCAAAAAAAAACTGCATCTTGATCAAAATTCATGTCATTGTTAAGGGGAAAGGAACACAGAGTGGTTTCTATCTGCGCTTGGGAAGACGTGCCTACACTACATCTCCATGTTCAATTTAAAACTGGAAAAGGTGGCTATAAAGTGTTAACTGAAGTAACCGCTCACTCCACTTTGTTTTTAATGGGACAGTACAGTATTGTCGTATCATTTATAAAACCTAGAAAATGTTTGAGCATTGGGTTCACCCAAAACCAAATCTCACTTAATTATTTTTTGGGTGTGTTGTCGATCACTGTCACTGGCTTTTTTTTTCTCGGGCACTGAATCATCTAATCAATGGGATTTAGTTCAACAATGTAGGTAGGTCTGTATTGTTTTGTTGACGTTAATGGTTATGCAATGACACTGTATGGAAAAAAAACGGACGCGTCAACAAGTGTCAGGGTTCACATTTAACGACAAAACAACCGTGATCATAGACATTTGAATAAAGTACACCACTGCAGGAAAACAGCTGTAAATGATTATAATAAAGATGGCAGAAATCCACTTGGCTAGTTATTACTGTGCACAGGCTGCGCTTTTCTGGGGCATTTGCGATAATGGCGAGGAAGTAGTTTGACCCTCTGGTGGAGTTTGGGATTATACTGGCACAATGTGTGTCAAAATTTGGTCGATTGATAAATACATGCTTTAATTCAAATTTATGATAATTTTTTAAAATGTTAACATTTTACATGCATGTACATTGCATGCCAATTTAAGGCTGATATTGATTTGATGTATTTTTTTTTTTATAAATTACAATACTTCAATAAATCTGTATTCTTTATTTTAAATTCACACCGGACAAGCCTCACTCACCAAAATTATTTTTGTCACTTTTAAACAGTCTTTACAACATACAAAAAAATTCCTCTCATGACTTATTTTTTTAAGAAGTGTTACTTATTTCTGGTATTATATTACAGTATTGTCAAACTTAATTTTTGCTATTTTCAACATTTTCTGACAAAATTAAGATTTTATTGACTTGAAATTATCTTTTTACTTGAACAATACAGATCTACTGCACCGTTTCTCTGACTTTTTTCTTAAGATTTTATTCTTGCAATATTGCAAATTCTCATAAATCTACCGTCCAACTTGAGACTTGTTCTTGCAATTTGGCTTTCTTTTAAAATTGTGATTTCATTGTCTCTTTTCATACTCTGATTTATTTTTATGCCTTTTTTCCCCACTTAAAATTCAGACTTTACTCTTATTTGCGTCATTTTATTAAATATAAAATATAATGTAATTGTGATATAATTACAACTCATCTTGTAATACTCTGACGAGTCTTTTTTTCCTCATAAACTTTAATCCCTGAATATTTCATTTAAATTGCTCACTTTACTATTTGAAATGTTACACTTTCATTAAATTCCCATTCTTGGCTCTGCAGCATAACATACTGAGCTGCTGCCAGCATGACTTGATTCAAAGTTCAGGTTCATAGCCAGTGAGCTATGCCAAAACCCGGTGACCTTTAAATATTTAGTCTAACGCCGTCCCAGTGAACCATTTCCACATAAGAAAACAGTGAGACAGAAAGATTGACCCAGCTGGAGTAAGACTAGTACACTCTCCGAACATTTCATAAGGTACACTCATCGTACAGGCTTACCGTGGTCTGGAACTGCACTACATCACAATGGACTGTCCCCATCTATAATAAAAGATGAAAAGATATGACTTATTTCAGTCAAGTGTTTTAAGTAGTAGTTGTAGTAGTAGACATGGGGCAATACGAGATTCTGACATCTTCTTCTTCTTCTCCTTTCGGCACATCCCCATTCAGGGGACGCCACAGCGAGTCAGTAATTTCCATCCGCCCCTGTAAACCGTCCTACCAACTCGCATGGTCGTCTTGGCAAAAGTTTTACGCCGGATGCCATTCCTGACGCAACCCTCCCCATTTCTCCGGGCTTGGGACCGGCACTGGGGAACAGTGCACCCCCAGGGGAGGGCACTGCCCCCCAGCGTCTGGGTTAATACGAGATTCTGACATAACAGTGCAAAAATGTTGGGCTATCACAGTATTAAATTGACAGCGCTAAACTGTCTTTTTAAAAATATTTGGGTGAGTAAAATTTTTTTTCCATTTAACACAATTATTTTTTTTCATGAAAATGTTGAAAAGTTGGTACATTAAGAAATGTGTAACATGGTAAGTTGAAAGAATGAAAGAAAATATTCTTCAATTTTAAGCCACACTGTCCCGTCACTGGTGAGCTTTTTTTAGAACAGGTCTGTAGGCTACTCGTGATGTATTAGGTGGCTGACTAGTACGCACCAGCACCATATTCATATTTTTAGGACAATGCACATTAATCAACAGCAAAAAAGGCATCCGTGTAAGTATGTTGAAATTCTCTCATCTACCTCCCTCACTCCATGTGCTCTGCTCACCCTTCTACTCAGGCGAGGAGATTAAGAAAAAAAAAAATTGAGTCACCTCCCTCTCTGATTGAGTCTCCTCAATAGGTCAAGAGCTTCAAATTATTTTTTCCATTGATGATAGCAAACTGTCCAGGCTCTGAAAGAGCAAAGCGCACCCATATAACGCTTCACATTTGGGATAAGATATTGATTGTGGTGTGCTGTGGCATTTTCCTCCCCACACTTGGTGTTGTGTGTTCCGACCAATTCAACTTTCAACAGTGCTGAACTTTCTCCCTTTACAAGCTATTTGTTATCCGTGGACTAATGAACATCATATTTTTTTTTAACCTTTTCCAGCTTATTCTGTAAAGTCCTGACCTCAATGCGATTCACGTGCTGTAAAATACCCTCGAGAGAGCTGAACGTAAAAAAAAAAAAAATCGAACTTTTGAATGATCCAAAATTCATGCATCTGTTGTCTGACATTAATTAATAAAGTTGAAGATTAGCAGATCCGCGTTGCTCTTGACGGAAAATACATGTTCTGTCCAGTCCGAGACAGACAAGACCAAGACTTTTGGGACTCGAGCACCCCGAGAAAAGGCCTTAAAAATGAGTCTGTTCTCAAGTGTTACGATACTCGCTTATATACATGTTTCTCAAATGGAATTAAAAGGCTCTCATTTTTTTATTATCTGAACTCGATCTGTCGCTATACAAATATGTCTGAAACTGTACTCGTGAGCATTTCTGCTTTGCTTGTTTAGATAATCCATTAGGTGTGGCATACCATATCATATCCAGGTGCTGATTAGACTGCATGAATAGTGCACAGGCTCCTAAATGTGTGTGCGCGTTGTACGTAAATGTCACCACTGCAACCAACGTGAGCTGCGTGTGTGTGTGCGTGTATATGTGTGCGTGTGTCTCGTATGTAAATGTCACCACCGCAACCAACGTGAGCACCCCGTGTGTGTGTGCGTGTGTGTGTGTGTGTGTGTGTGTGTGTGTGTGTGTGTGTGTGTGTGCGCGCGCGCGCGCTCGTTCGTTGCACATTAATGTTACCACTGCAACCAACGTGAGCACCCAGTGTGTACCCATATTTGAACCCGTGCCTAACATTTTAGCGCTCATCCTGCTCCGATGACGTCCGCCACGATAACAATGTTGATTCTAGGCCGGCACTTGTGATTCGAAGCCGAGCGGACGCTGCTCGCCACCGGCAACCAATGCGAGCGAGGGGCGGCCGGTACAGGCCAGGGGAGTTGTCTTGCTCCCGGACACACGATTGGACCGCCTTAAAAAGGGCAAACACTCGTCCGCGTTTCCACTCCAGGCGTCCTCCCTCCCCTTAAGGTACAGAAATAGAAAAGGTTTAGTGGAGGGCAAAATAAAACGTTTCGTCCGCGTTGTTCGCCCCGAAAGACTTTTTTCCCCCGAGCGGAGCTCCAGCATCACTGCGACGGGGCAAAACTAGCTTAGCTGGAGGAGGGGGGGGATATCGTCTGTCAATCGCTCGAGTTCAGCCGGAAATACAATTTGTAGCGAAAGTAAAAGCCGTTGGGTCGTTTCAACGTCGACTTATTGTGACTATTTGAACAAGTTGGACCTTCGAGGGAATGGCACTCGACTTCGCCGCGGGCTGCGTGGGAGGTAAGAAAGAAAGCAGTGGCGACGGGCGGGCGGCTAGCCAAAGTGTGCCACTGCCGCTAGCCTTGCCACGCGAGCCAGGTTCACAGCTTTATGCTAACCTTGCTAGCCTTGCTTTATACCTACATCCAAATGTTCTTTTCATACGTCGAGACATGATTAAACCAAGTTAACAATCATGGAAATTTGAGCTCAATAGCGTAGAAAGCTTCATATTACATCAATGACTCATCACGTTACATTCCAAGACTGTCACCCAACAGGAGTGGTTCTTCCGTTTTGTCACATATTTGTTGTATTGTGTAGTTATCATTGAATGAGTGTCAATCGGTGGGGGGAGACGGGTACGGCAAGCACTGCACCGTCACTTTTCGGTATTCTCAAATTTGCAGATAAAAAAACTTCTTTGCAAATTTTGTGCTCAGACCAAAGGAATAGCCATCTGTTGGTCTTTCGTGCCAACGGATTGTTTTAATATATATATATATTAATAGCAGTGTGCATCTGTCCCCCCCAAAAGGATACATTTCTCAATGCATCGACATATATTTTATAGTGGACCAATTTGACTAATTTTTTTTAATGGTTTCAAATTCCATGTAGTGATAGGTAACTGTCAACTCAGATGCTTGTTGACAAATAAACATTTATAGAGACTAAAGATGAACGATATTGAATTGTGTGTGTTTTTTTTTTAATTGTGTTTCCAGGTGCTGCTGGTGTTTTGGTTGGACATCCGTTTGACACAGTGAAGGTGGGTGTGTCGTCCATAGCGTACAATAACATGCATTGACATCTTAAACCAATTAATGTTTGTTTTGTAAAATCGTTTCAATGTAGATCTTCAAAAACACAGATTGTCCTGGGTAACTAGTAAAGACAGATGTGGTGTCCTTGTTTATCTACTTCCAACTGTGGTTGTACACAGCAGAGGTCAGGACACTATAGTGGAAGAAAGTTAGGGAATTTAAACAGGGTTGGACAATTAATCCATTTGATCGGTTTATTAGTTTATTTTTGAGCCATTTGATCAGTTTATTAGTTTATATTTGAGGACAATTTAGTGGTGACTCTTTTTCAGAAGTAACTCAGAGAAGGGGCCAAGTTAATGAGTGTGAACTCTCCATTCAAATGAATGAGAGCGAGCTCTCATTAAAGTGACTGGAGCCGGCGAGGTGCGCGCCGCTCATTAACATTTTTACCACAAGCTTCAATATTTCATCCACTGATAAATATGTAATTGTAAATGTGATTAAGTATTGTTGTAAACACAACCTATGTGTAATTTTAGATCTTAGCGGCAGCCAGCTGTCCCGCTCGCTTTTTTTGTTTCTGTGAAAGCTTTTGTCCATGTGAACATCTATAATTTGCAACGTTGCCACTTGGTGCAACTGCGATTCATATTCTAAACTGCAGCAAAACCAGTGGCCGAGACTCGCCCGCTTATGGAATTTTGTGACAGAACCCTGCCCATTGCAAGTGTGCAATGGAGGCTCGCACAGTTGAGTTGATTCTATCCCAAATTGATTTGGTTCTTGTTGTCATGGAGAAGCAAACAGAGGGCCGGACAAGTTAAACGAAGCCGGGGCAGAGCAAGCCCAGGCCTTTCTGGAACCTGGAACGGAAAAGCACCCAATGCAACCGATGTGCTTGAAAGAAGGGCAACAGGTTTCTGCAACTAGTTGTGATGAGTGGCTGGCCGTCTACAGCTACTTTTGTTGGAATTCCAATTTTGAATTGCGGATGAATGGCGTCACAATGACGCTGACGTAAAAGCGTGAAATGTTACGTCACTTCTTTAAATACATTCTTGCTAAAGTCAACCTCAATGCCATCTGTGAAACTCTGATAACTAAGTTAATAATGAAGATAAATATGTCTTCTTGGGTGTGGCCTTTGTTGACTGATATTAGATTGAAGCAATTTAGTGAAGTTGGAGCAGGTATCTTTTTTTTTTTTTTTTTCTGTGACTTTGTGACTGGGACGTTTTAGTTTGAGTGTCGTTCCCAATGCCTTTTAAAAAGTCCAAATGAAAAGGTTATCTTGTATATATGACAGGTAGTTTGTTTTCGTGACACCATTTTCAGGACTTTCAGGGAAAGAAAGTGAAGCCAGTGCAAGTGCAACTTCAGGACACAAAAACACATATTTGCATTCCTGTTTGTGGCTGGATGACGCGGCAGCGTTCTTGGTGTCTGGCTCTTTCCTGTGTACTTTGCTGTGAATATGTATGCTTGGGGCGGGGGGTGCTGGAGGAGGAGGGCGGGGGCTGTCTTTAACAGCAACAGTGTCACTGTGTTGTAGATGAGAGAGAGAAATAAACAACCTCTCGACGGAATTGGGACCTAGTAAGTAAAGTCCAGGTCTTTCTTTCTCTCCCTCTATGTCAGGGGTGTCCAAACTTTTTCCTCCGAGGGTCGCGCGCAGAAAAGTGGAATGATGCAAGGGCCACTTTGACATACCGGTACTTCAATTTGAATTCATTTGATGTGCAAAAACCCATCCATCAAGCCAATATTGTATTTTTTTTAATTTTTTTTTTTTTTTTTTTAATGGAAGCAGTGTGTTAGTTCTTTTGTACTGCTAGTTCTACAAACATTACAGTTTTCTTTCAAAAGTGAATAGGGTAAATAGTTTCAGCTTTTTCGGGAGCCGGCCCACATCCAGAAGCAAAATAAGAGCAACTGTAGTAAATCGACAACCTTTAAAGCAATGTTTACTTGAGGATCATTCTTGTGATAGGTTTACACATCAGACTTCGTTATAGAAAGTGGATTAAACCATTTTTGCTTCTGAAATTGAATTCTTAATTCGCCAATAGTATTCTTCAAAGAAATGTTCCTATTATTTTAGTTGTTAAAAAGCTCCACAAAACCAGTTGGCGGTGCATTTAAAATTGCTTTATGGTACGCGGTAAGAAATGAATTAACACATTCATACACGAGCTGCTGGTGGCGACAACTTACGCAGTCATTCAACACACAGGCTGGTTAGCCAGTTAACAACCAGCCAACTCTACACTCTCATTCACTGACACCTACATCACTCACCAGGCCAGGCACTCATCGATACGACAGTAGAATGTGATGATGGCAACACCAAGATGACAAAAACATTGTGCCTGCGCCTCACATGCACCGTTTTGTGTGGAATGCAAAATCAATTTGTAGTGGATTAATTGGTGTATATTTAGTCCGAAAAAATATTTGATGGCTTCAACGCAATAAATGATATTTTTAGTATTTGCCGCGGGCCTTAAATAAAAAAATAAAAAATAAATAACACAAAGCCACTCATAAAAACCGGGCCGTAGTTTGGACACCCCTGCGCTTTGTCCTGTCTTGAGCTGTACACAATTTGTTATAAATAACTAAAAAAACAACACATGTACACACACCCAAAAAAAAAAAAAATCCTAATTTTGCACGTATGCAATAGTTTGTTTTTTTTACCCTGTTTGCCTGCTTGTTTTCCCTTGAGCACTGTTTTACATTGTGATGTGCCATCATGATAATGATGCTTACACAAGTCGGTTTGGTCCTCAGGTGCGGCTTCAGGTTCAAAATGCGGACAAGCCTCTCTACCGTGGCACATTACACTGCTTCCAGTCCATTGTGCGACAGGAGTCGGTAAGCTTGACTCGAAAAATTTCATTCCAGCCCTCGACTTTGCCTCGAGGCCACCCGCGCTGCTGATTAGGGTGTCCGGTTACAATGTGACGAGCCACGTCAGCTAGCACGTTGGAGACATCCAGTGTGAGAGGGCATTGAGGTTAAAAAAGCGGTGGAAGTGTCTCTTCTCCTGACATCACTGGAACCTCATTCCTCAGGGGGCTAAATTAAGTTTTGGGCATCACGCGAGGTTCAAAGCTCCGCGTGGAGTTGACTCAGCCCGTATACATTGGAACTATGCTAACATTCAAATCATGTTTAGTCACAACTAAGGAAGGGCGTTAGGATACATCAATTTGATCAAATATGGGGATTTAAAAACAAATAAATGCATTTATTAACCAGCACTCAGTGAACAGCATTGGTCAGGTCTAAAATAATTTTTTTGTTGGTCTCATAGTTCACTCATTCACTCCCAAAGACATATTTATGACTTTTCACACTCCGCACATTCAACCCCAGATACTTTTTTTTGTTGATTTTTTCAAGACTTAAAAAGAATGTTTTGGTTTTTTTTTTTGATAAAACATTTTCTTTTTACCCTCAGTCTTGAAAAAAATTTAAAAAAAAAAGTATCTGGGGTTGAACGTGTGGAGTGTGAAAAGACAAATATGTCTTAGGGAGTGAATGAGTTTTAGAAGAAGAATATGAACTGGATCAATTGCATAGGCTGATTAGACTCAAAGACAAATAGTTTTAATGATCTAATCTAATGCGATGGTTCTCAAGCTCTTCACACCACTTCAAAAAGTGCGCAGGAGTCCCCTCGTGTTCATCATAACAAGGCAGACATTTTATTCCTAAAGTAGGGCTGAACGATTTTGAAAGAATGTACTTTTTATGATTAAAAAAAAAAAAAAAAAGTTGGTCATGATGTTGAAACTTGAAAAGCAAATAGAGTATCGTGGCAATAAAAAAAAAAAACATGGTACTTGCTGTAAAAAGTTTAAGAACCACTGTATTAGAAGCAAGAGTTCTTATTTTAGGGAAATTTGGTCACGAGAGATGCCAACAAGGTAAAATAGCGTAAAGATGTTCTTACCGGGTTGAGGCCACCTTGAACGTCAACCAGCTGCCGTTGTTCCGCAGACGTTGGGTCTGTACAAAGGCCTGGGCTCTCCGATGATGGGCCTCACCTTCATCAACGCCATCGTGTTCGGCGTGCAGGGCAACGCCATGCGCAAGTTGGGCCGCGACACGCCTCTCAACCAGTTCCTGGCGGGCGCCTCGGCGGGCGCCATCCAGTGCGTCATCTGCTGCCCCATGGAGCTGGCCAAAACTCGCATGCAGATGCAAGGCACGGGGGAGAAGAAGTCCAAGAGGAAAATGTACAAGAACTCTCTGGACTGCCTGCTGAGGATCTACAACAAGGAAGGGATCCGGGGCATCAACCGCGGCATGGTGACCACGCTCCTCCGCGAGACCCCGGGCTTTGGCGTCTACTTCCTGGCGTACGACGTGCTGACGCGCCACCTGAGCTGCGAGCCGGAGGATCCCTACCTGATCCCCAAGCTGCTGTTCGCCGGCGGCATGTCAGGCATCGCCTCCTGGATCTCCACCTACCCCGTGGACGTCATCAAGTCCCGACTGCAGGCGGACGGCGTGGGCGGCGTGCACCGCTACGACGGCATCGTCGACTGCGTGCGAAAGAGCGTGCGCAAGGAGGGCTGGAGGGTGTTCACCCGCGGCCTCACCTCCACGCTGCTCCGGGCCTTTCCGGTCAACGCCACCACCTTTGCCACCGTGACTCTCTTCCTGCTGTACATGCGTAAGGACGACGAGTGCATCCTGACGGGCCCCGACCCGCAGGCGGCGCCCATGCAGCCACTGCAGCCGCAGGCCCAGGCCAGCAGCATCTGAGTTCAGCCGCGCCAAGCAGAAAAAGTCATTATCGCTACAAATCAGACAGGTGTAATATTTAAGAATTATTGGTGAGTCAGATAAAACCGCACTTGTATATATATATATATACAGTAGTCTGTTTTGTATTCTTTTTTTTAATTTTTTTTTTTTATGCTCATTCAAGAATAGAGTGCCAATGTGGTTACAGGACTTACTCTGATGCAGAGTATCATGTGAAAAGGCTGCTTTGTTCTTACGTACGCCGCCTTTGCTGTTCAATCTTTAATCAGACTTATTTTGCGGTGTCAAACTACGAGCTTGTTTTTGTCTCGCTCCACACTACACTTTTTGTTATTTCTGGGTTACCAAAGGTGGGTGATTCGAGTGAAACCTAAGTTCCCAATTTTAGGTTTTAAGAAAAAAACTCAAGACTTTGTCAAGTCAAAGTTTTCATCCTTATGTTTGGAAATCTTCTTTTGCCATCAAGCCAACTAAGAGAAGTAACAGTTCAATGTGCATCAAAACGGGTTTAGCTGGACACCATTTGATGAAAAATGTTTGACTCCAGTAAAGTAGTGGTCAGCGCACTTCGTTTTGGGTGGCTTTTCCAGATTGACCTATTATGCCATAAAACCTTTGACATTGTCTAAACCTTCAAACACACATCCAACTGTTCCGCATGATAAAAAGGACTTTTCCAATTCATGTTCTATCCAAACCAGGAAATGTGACAGATTAAAAAATATTGATTTCCGACTTGCTTTATTTCTGCCAGTTACTGGAAAAACGCAAAGGTCATGACTTAAGACTCCCACCTCTGACGGTTCCAAATATGGAAACCTATCACATTTACTGTACATACATGAAAATATGACATTTGTGTTCTGAGCTTACAGCCATGTCATTGTTTTTTTTTTTTTTGGTGTCTTTTTCTAATACATCCTTTTGAACCCCCAAAGGCCAAAACGATCTGGTCCTGGCTGAATTTCGTAGGAAATGAGTGACTCGGCTTCCGAATCAATGAACTGTTGAGAAAAAAAATTGTTAGAGCGATGCTGTTACCAATTTGTGTTTGCTGGAATCGTGTTTCAAAAGTGTATTTGCATTCGTCAAAATGGTGGAATTGAGATTTAAGTAACTGTATCAAGTCATTGTACGGAGCAAGGTGACTTTTTCATCACAGTCAAGTCCAGTTTCTGCTCACTTCTTCCATCACTGGTACCTTTCCTGTGATCATGTCCCCAATCAAAAAATCCAGAGAAAAGGAAACAAAACAAAAAAAAAATCCTGATGAAGGCTAGTCTAAGTTTTGTTTTTGGAGGTTGCACCTGACAATGCTAGACTGTCACCATCCCACCGCAGTGTAAATTAGAACCCAAAAGGCCGATGCAGAGAATGTGTCACGGCAGTCTTGAATGTCTCTCTCTCTCAAAAAAAAAAAAGTTATTTTCTGGTTGAACCCAAAGGATTGCAAGGCATGTGTCGAAGCAGGGTGCCGGTGTTAAATGAAACACATCTCTGTGAAAGTCTGACTTATTTTTCTACTCTTCTCTCATTAGATTATTTATGCCCATTTTGAATACAAATTCTGTTACAATGTTATTTGTGCTAAAATGCTGTTATATGTGTCATTGATTGCCAATAAAAGGCACGTTCTTGTTGAATGGATGTTATTTTTGGGGGGTGGGGGATCATGACTATCACGAATTATGTACATGATCAATACAGTGGGGCCTTGAGACACATTTAATTTGTTCTATGACCGCACTTTTTTTCATCTCAAAACACTTAAATCAACAGAAATGCAATTATGACATTCCAGCTATAAAAATGAAAATCAGTTTTTTAAGAACAAATGTACTCAACAGTATTGCACTGTAATAAGAACGGTCATATTTTCGGTCTACATAACCTGAAAAGTCAGAAATTGCGAGCACAAACCACGACCGTACCTCATGTATTGTCCTTGTTCTTTGGTGTCTAATACATACATGGCAATGGCGAGTGATGAAAAAAGCGGAAGGGGCGTGGCCTGGACGGGGCGTGGCCTGGACGGGGGCGTGGTTACTTACAAAAGTGGCACTAAACGTGCTGAAGATGAAGTGTATTAAATTTACACAGTTTGAAAATTGAACAGAAAAAAATCCCAAGATCGCCACTATTCTTTCAAGTGAAAATTTGTGCAATTTTGCCTATGCATTCCTGGTGAGCACCAATATGTAACTCCAAATTTGCTGCTCAAAATCAAAACTAAAAAAGTAAACACATCCCCTGCCATATTTAAGATTTGTTCATGACTTGTATTCATAAAGTGTTGTGTAAATGTGATAAAAAGCTGTTGATTCTTACCTCATACAGTGATAGTGAATATTTATTATGCATACAAGTTATTATGCATAACCGTGCTTTATTATCCAAGACAAAACGTGAATTATCAATATGAATATAAAACGCAAATAAAAACAAATAAATGTTATCATGCTGTTGCTACAAATGCATACCAAATAAAAGTGAAAATATCATCCTCGTATATTTGAATAAAAAAGTATATACATCGGAGTGTACCTGTCTATCGGCGAGGGGCGTCAGTGGAGCAGATTTCGTTGCTTGGTTCAGCCAAAGTAAGTACCCCAGCGCGTAACGTCTTTAGTTGTATCCGCTGACGAAGTTTGTTTGAAAAATGCCGATCCCAAAGAATAATTGCTCCGGCGAATGGCGATTTTGTCGGCATGTTTTTTCACTTTTGTTGCATGATCTGTCAGTGCCACGCATCCACGGGAGCCATAGTTAATTAAGTCACTACAATACACACAATAAGCTTTGCCTGCTACGTCAAAGCTTATTGTCCAAGAGCTTCTGTAACTTCGTCGAACTTGGAACCAATTTTAACCTTTACAGTGACTTTTCTGTCAAGCCAGTCCAATCGGAATTTATTCTTGACATTTGAGTCAATTTCTAGGATTAAAGACTCCTGATCTTTCGTCAAAAATTTCATAATTCCGCTCAAAACGATCCCAGAACAATGAATTTGCGAGACGAACAGGCCGCCATGAATCAGGTAAAACAATGTTACATGCAATTTGATTGGTCCAATCGCTTGTAGTTAACCAATCGCTGGGCTGTTTATAATCGAGCTAAGACTTCCGCAACAAATAATGCCTTCAGTGATCTGATTAGTTGAAGCTTTCATACACGTCCAATCGCAGGGCTGTTTACAAACGGAAAACAGAGAGACTGTTCGGGAGAGCTCGTGAAAACTCGACGATAAGGTACCTGACCGCCCCTAAAATTTTCTCAACGGATTTAGACGATTCACAAAAATGATCAATTTAAGAAATAAAACGGCGGATTTCCGCGGATCCGCGGAAAATTGCCATGTATGCTAATAGCAGTTGGCAAACGAGCATAGTAGCACATTACGGCCACCAACTGATATTGTCCTTCCACTGCAAGGAAACCAATGTGAATTGATGGTGGCGGAACGAGGGTTTGAAGTGATCACGTATCGTTAATTTTTGCTTGTAAGTACAAAATAATCAACCAAGTGACCGATTGTAAGGAACTCCTACCTCAAGGCACCACTGTATGCATACAATGATGTTGCAATTAGAGACAACTGAGCAACAACTTAACTGACAACTATTTTGGTAATCGTTTGGAGCCTGTAACTGAGAGTCATGGGGAAAATAGTCATCAGCTTAAACGATTTAAAAAAAAAAAAACTCATATGTAGTCATAAAATGAATCACCTGTAAGTGACGTAGTTAACTGAAGCGCAATTGTGCAGCGTTCCGCTGGACAAGGAAATTGTGTCGGTCATTACAGCGGTTCCTCGGTTTATGAAATGCTCCAATGAGAGGATAGACAGACAGATCACAGTTACTTGACGAGCAAGGCAACGTGTCAGAAAACAATACATGGCATGAAATGTGGCTGTACATGATTTGAATGGGAAATCAATAGTGCCACCTGGTGGACAAAAATAATAAAGAAAATGTTGCTCATTGTAGTCTATTACTTTACAGTTAAAATAATAATCAAATTGTAATTGTAGGAAATATTTGTTTAAAAGTTTAAAATACCAAATGAATTTTGTTCCACGTCACGACTGTGTCCCCCATTTCTTCACAACAAAATCTTTTACAATTTTATGTAAATCTGAATTGTGGCAAAAGTTCAAGGAGAGTGGATATCTTTGCAAAGCCATTGTATGTATTGATTTAAACCCGTGTTATTTCATATCGGAGTACGTTTGTTTTTTCAGTAAATACAGCAGGATTTTTTTGTTGCTTTCTGATCATTTTGTTGGCTTGGACAGCAACAAAATCTAATTACAATAACCCAGTAATACATAGTGATATAATCCAATACATAAATGGCATAAAAAAAATCTGTTTTTATTAGTCTTTTGACATTGATTGAAATTTACATTGTAATATCTGTAAACATAATCATTTTTTGACCAATATTCACATTTTAGTGCCACGTGTTGAGTTGATATCAGCACAAGCTGCTCCCAACATTTTAAAAAGTTCCATAAAATAAATAGTATGCCTGTTACTGAACTAAGCGAAGTAAGAAGTTTGTTGTGCAAATATTTTGAGCTTATATCCTAATGATGCTCGAGGTGCAAACGACCGCTCACTCTATGAGTAAGAAAGCAACAGCTGTCGGAAAATAAAGACAAAAAAAAAAAAAAAATCAAAGTAATTAGATCCTTAGAGTGTGCGTCACCGTCTCACGGGACTTTCCTGCTTTGTCCAGAAGGAAGGAGTCGCAGTTGTAACGCAGGAAGCGGAAGATCTCCTCGGCCCTCGCTCTACTCATGCCGCCTCCACGCTCCAGGCTTTCCACTGAGCTGAACACACAAAACAGGACAGTTTTAGACACCGAAAACGAGAGTAGGCTAACTACATTTTTGTTGTTTGTTGCTACTTTTTAAATGTATTTGAATAATCTGATGTGCGTTTAACCTGTTGACGAGCTGGGCAACGGATCGGAAGCGGCGGCTCATGTTGAGCGCGTGGACGTAGTTGACGGCGGGCAGGCTCAAATAAAACTGAAGGTCCTGCTGCTCGTGCTGCCCGCTCAGCTCCGTAGAGGGCGGGGCAAAAGCCTGCCCCTTGCGCCGTTCCAGTTGCGCCAGCTCGACCAGCAAGGTGGCGCTCTGTTGGGGTCCGTCGCTCCACAGCAGCCGCACGCCGGACCGCACCAGCGCCGACAGGGTAGTGTCGTAGCAGCGCGTGCGATGGAAGGGACGAGACACCTCACCTGGGACACAGAAACATTGTCGGACTGTTATGGTCATGGGGGCATCTCGAAACAGTCAAAGTAGTTTTTGGGTAAAATATGACATCACATTGTTTGATAGTAGGTGTTTTTGCCTCAAGATTTGTTATGTGAACCACACAAAAATACACTCGTGAGGCTGACCTGGCTTGGTTCTGTCCTTCTCCACAATCAAACAAACGCGCTCAAAGCGCTCCTGCACGCTTCCCAGTTTCTCCGCCAGCCGCTTGCGGTTCTGCGGGGACGCCAGATCCGACTGGGCATGCCTTTCCACGGCCATGCGAGCGCTGACAATGAAGTAGCTGCTGTCCAGTGAGCACACGTGGACGGTGGCGCCATGATGCTGGCGTAAGCTGGTCACAAGTTCCACACCGCCGCCGAGGCAGCGACCGTCCATCAGGATGCACACTGGAGTCTCTGTGATGGACGGGACCACTCCGACAGAATCTGGGATGGAGGATGTAGGCTCCTAGAAGCGACAGCGGTTACTAGAGTAGACAGCTATTCATTCACATGTGATATGAATTAATCTTAATGTCACAGTTGTGCATCAACCACTACAATGGACCCTTATGGGTGATGCCACGCACTGCCATTATGTCTTTTCAAGCCTTAAGACTAATAAAAAAATCCTGATGTAGGTTATTATTATTTGTGCATCAAAGAGTTAAATGCGGACTGAGTGGTGCCACGTCCAGCAAAAATCCACAAGTAATTGATGTCACCCATAAAAAGGTACTGTACTTTCTTGTATTTGTCAATAGATGCCACATGATGGCACCAAAGCTGTTCTATGGCCTGAGCAACCTCATCGCCTTTTTCAGGGCAATTTATTTTTGAAAAACTGGGACCAAGAATAGTAGAGGTTGGATTCGAAACTTGAAAACCCCCGGGTAGAATCCCAGTGAGTTATTGCACCTTTTCGGTGCCGTATTAGTGAATATTTGTTGTGGCACAGGCTGCATGCTAAAGAAGAAGTGGCTGTAATGCACCATACACATTTGCCAACTGCCAAAGAATGTAGAGGGAGAAGAAAAAGTCAAATGTAGTCATGGCAACTCATGTGTGACATATGTGATTCGTTTGCTGCTCCAACAAGGATTTACTATTTATGAGACAAAAGGTGTAATAACCGACAAAGATTCTACCTCTCACCATAACGTAATGCGAGAGTCTCGTTAAGGGAAGCAATTTTAAACTAAAAAGGAAAACGTTTCCGTGGTTAGAAGGGGAAGTTTCGAATGCAACCGGAGATCATTCGATGAGGCAATGGTGATTTTGGTTTGCGAGCCCGAGCTCTAATTTTAATTTCTACATGGTGCATCAACGTATTTAAAAAAACAAACCAAAAAAAGGTTACTTATGGTCCAAAACA